CTTGGCCCCAAAGTCTATTTGTGGTACTCCCTGGGGACTTCGTTGCTCTGTTCCCCTTGCTGTTCTGTTGCACGCTCTTAGTGTTTTGCCTCGGTGTGGTGGGATCAGATTGGGTGGAATTCCCACACTGTGTCTCCAGTGTGGTCCCCTGTAGGGCTCTGGGTCAGTGAGGGACGTCGTGTCTCATAGTGGGGCGGGCCATGTGGTCCTCTCTGTGGACTGGCTGCTCTGAGTGGGAACATCGTCCTCAAGGCCTGGTGGGCCAGGATGTGCTCCACTCTCTCCTCCCCTGCATCTGCTCCCGTGCTCTGATCAGAAACACGGCCCTCTCCTGGAGCAGCTCCTCAATGTCTAACATTTTGCGGAGACCCGAGGTCCCTGTGCTGGTCCTCCTGTGGTTGAGCCAGGGTGACCTTTCGGCATCTCTTTGGCAGGACCACAAGCAGACGGTGCCACTTTGCCCTGGAGCAGGCCCTTCATCTGGGGATCAAAGGTAGTGTGTGCTCCCACCGCCTCGAGCAGTGGTGTGGGCTTCACGTGACAGCACGCTGGATTGGCCATGAGACTGGGGATGCCGTGCCATGGCCAGTGCAGGGGCTGCACACAGAGCAGGAGTCCTGGCTCTGCCGCCCCTCCTCCTAGACCAGCGAATCTCAACCTGGGGTCACCCGATTCATCACAGTGACAAAATGACAGTGATGAAGTAGCAACGGAAATAAGTTTCTATTTGGGGGTCACCACAACATGAAGACCTGGTTAAAAGTCCGCGGCATTTGGAAGGTTGAGAACCACTGTCCTAAAGGGTCCCAGGGTCTGTCCTGAGGAGCCGACAGGGTGGTGGCTTTGTGACCCAAACGGTGTGGCATTTGTATTCTGGGGCAGGAGGGTCCCGTGTGGACAGGGCGGGGGCTCCAGGGCCTTGGTCAGCTGCTGGAGGTTTTCAGTAACGGTTGTGTCCGTTTCCCTTCCCGGTTGTAAAAGTGCTGTTTCCAGAAGAAGTCGTTCTGCAGTCTCCCCAAGTGACCTCGAGTTGGAGTTGCCCACAGAGCCCCAGGGCCGAGGCCCGGCCAGCCCCCAAGGTAGGCCTTGACTGACTTCACCGGCTCCAATCTCAAGTGTGGGTCCTGTGGGATGCTGGGCGCAGGTCGTCTGGGAGCACAGTTGAAGTGGGGCTCACCTCAGGGTTGAGGGGCACTGTGTGGCGTCAATCTGCCGAGGCCTGCAGCTGCAGAGAGCCCGGGGCCGTGAGGACGCACCGCCCTGACCTGCAGGTCTAGCACTGCCTGTGGCCGCTCGTCCTGGGGGCATGCATGCGTGTGTGCAGGAACTTGGAGCGTTCACACCTAGGGCTGGCAGCACCCGCAGTCTCTGCTTGATCACACACATGCTGCACGAGCAGCTCGTTACCTGCCTGGCACAGAGATCCATCTCATGCTGGATCCAGAAATAACCCCTGAGGGTGTGAGTGTGATTGGGGTGGAGGTGGGGGTGGAGACAACCACCAGAGCCTGTCATTCCGGGCTGTTGGAATTTGCTACTATGGGCATGTTTTAAATCTGAGATAGGTATGCTTTAAAGTTTTCTATGTGATATTTAGAAATCCTTTTACCATTTCAACGCTCTAACCCAAAAGTTGTAGAGTGAGCATACAATTGCGAGCAATCATTTAAAAGCCAAAGCCACTCGTCAGAATCCTGCATCGTGGGTGTTGTATTGGTCTCTTTATTCGGGAAATGAAAGCGTGTCTTTACTGGGAGCTGGTGCAGAGCCTCGACCTTCCCATCGTCTCACCCTGAACCTCTGGTGGGACGTGAGCCTCTCTGACCCTGTGGTGGTACATAGGGAGCTCTGCAGAGCCTTCCCACCCGCAACAACATCTCGACCGAGTACGTGAAACCACAGACAGGGACGGGACACCAATGAAGCAACCTCCACTCGCCCTCTGAGCCTGGTTGGGTTCGAGGTCTGGACAGAGGCGTGGGGGCCAGGAAGAACCAATGGAGCTGACGAGACAAGACCCGGAAGGACAGGAGGACAGGACGCCTGAGTTCCTCAGGGCAGCCAGCGTACCAGAGAGGGCAGCACACGGGGCAGTGCTCGGGGCTCTCAGCTGAGTGCTGGCCCGCACGTGTGGCTGAGAAGAACGGTCAAGGGTCAGGCAGAGCGCTGAGGAGGAGCACTGCGGGGCGCAGGCGAAGCTTGATGCTGCTGTGAAGACGGACAGCCTCAGCCCAAAGGGGCTCTGCCACGGCGCTTGTTGGAATGGCCGGTGAGCAAGTGAAGGGGATGGGACCTTTGCAGGAACACTGACTATTCACACCGACACCGCACAGAATCCACTGTTCCTGTTGTCCATAGGCCAGGGGTATGTTGGACTGCCAGCCACAAAGTCAGTGGTTCCAGTCCACCAGCTGCCCCAGGGGAGAACGAGGCTGTCGCTTCTTGTGAGCACGCGTGGTCCGCGAGTCCTGAAGAGCTTCCACCTGCCAGGCAGGCTGCTCTGCACCAGAATGGACCCGAGGGCAGTGGGCTTGGGGTGTCGTCCAGCTGAACAGGAGGTTCTGTAACACAAGCCAGGCGGCTGACACCCTCCAAAAGGGGCGGCCTTGCCCCACTGCTGCCAAGCCAGCCCGACTCCATGACCCTCGGCAGCTTTCCAGGGCTGCGGATCCATTCGGGAGCAGAGGGGAGCCCGTGGGTTTCAACCACCAGCCTAATGCTTACCTGACAGCCCACCAGTGCTCCCTAAATGTGGCCAGCACAGTGACACTGGCCGGCCAGGCCATTAGGACAGTGACTAACACTCCTGCTTGTCCAGGGGCGTGGAGTCCGGAGAACAAAGACCTGATGAAACGGCAAGTGCAGGATAAACAGAAGAGAAGGGCAGTGAACTTGAAGGCCTGGCACTGGGGCGTGCCCAACTCAGAGTGTGCCCAGCCAAACCAAACCACGCCCAGAGCATGCCCAGCCAAACCAAGCTCAGAGCGTGCCTTAGTAACGAGGCCTTGGCAATGGAGCGTACCCAACCCAGAGCGTGCTTCAGGAAGGGCAACGCCAAGCAGCCCACATGCAGTGAGGGCCCCAGAGAGGCGCCACACATGAAGATGATGGGTGGACAGGAGAGGGGCACATGCAGACCTCAAACTCCAACCACTTCAATTAGGATGCCTGCCGTCCAGCACAAAGATTGTGAGAAGGTGCTTGTGGGGAGGCAAGCGCAAAGAGGCACAGCCACCGTGGGTGGGAAGCCATGACCAGTCCTGCCAAAGGTCACCCACAGCACCTGCACGTGGCCCCGCCTCTGAGGGGTGGAGACTGCGAGCTCACAGCAGCCCACAGTCACCAGGGTGGGACAGCCACATGTCCCCCTGTTGGCCATCCATGGAGCGACCTGTCAACGCACAGACTGCTGATCCACACTGCAGCTCAGATGACAGGTGTCATCCAACTTCACAGACAGGAAGGATCCACAGGCCTGGGGGAGTGGGCTGTGCAGGGCCCGATGGAGACGGTGGCCCCCACGCAGTGCATTGTGGAAACAAACACTTCAGACGTAAAATGATGAGCATGAACCCAGCTGCCAGACGCCACCTCCAGACCAGATGGCGATCATAGTTGGAGAGCTTTTTAGGGTAGACTGCTGCGTGCTTCGTGCATGGCTGGGGGTCGCCATGCCGTCAGGTCTCGGGAGCTGCTTCCAGAACCAACATTTCTATGTTGAGGGACATAGAAATGCATTCTTAGAAAGTGACCGGTCACTGAAGAGACAGGTGGCCCAGCTGTTGCTTCCAGCTTGGCCATGGGCAGGAGGCCGCCAGTCCACCGGCCAGCACAAGTCAGCCCTGACCTTGGTGTCTGGGGGAACGTGTCTTGGAGAGCAGGCATGGCCCACCCACCCCCAAGTGGAGAGAGGCTACCCTGCTGAGGTCTACTTGGCTCGGGTGACGGGATGCCTGCGGGCAAGACAGCTGTGCTGTGGCTCCAGCTGCCCTTCCATCATCTGTCCTTAGCGGGACGTGAGCAGGAAGTGCCCCTCTAGCAGCCCTCTCCCGATGCCCTGTCTCACACACCAAGGAGGGCCCAGGGGGCCGCCATGGGTGCAGAGGTACGCTGCCTAAGCTGGACCGTCTCATCTCCAGCCCAGGACCGCTGACACTGGGAAGAAGCCCAGGACACCGCCGGCTGGGGGCCACGTTGGGGCCGAGGGTGCACTGGCAACGGCAGCCTTGACGCCATCTTCAGAGCCCAGTGAGTGGGGAGCCGGTCTGGGAGGGGAGGAGCAGGGCGACTGACTAGCAGCATCCAGTTGGAGGTGCGTGGCCCCCAAAGGAGGCCGGTCTCCCACCAAGGTCCAGGAGCTGCCGCTGCTATGGGGGGAGGGTCCTCCCACAGGGCCACGTGAGCCCCCACTTGTTCTTGCTGGGGATTGGGGCCTTGCCAGCTGTCCCAGCCAGGGGTTCTGTGAGCCCCTCGGAAGGGCAGGCAGGGTCCCTGGTACCTGGAGGACAGCAGTACAGGGAAGCACGGCCCTGGGGTTTGGAGAAGCCGGCCAGTTAAACAGCACCGCAGGGCCTGGGTCCGCTCTGGGCTCAGCTGCTCTGGGGGCGGGGAGGAAGGAGACTGTCTGTTGGAGCCCACAGGGACTGGGGCCTCTGTCCCACGGGGGAAAGTGGGGCGTGTGGCACCAAGCAGGGCGGTGACACCTCTGACTGCGTCACCCTTTGGCAGCAAGCGAAGGCCAGACCCCACAGCTGGGAGGGCGGGGCTTCTTCAACGCAACGCTGAACGAGCACCAGCAGCTGGCGGTGCGGCGCATTCTGAGCGGGGACTGCCGCCCCCTCCCCTACGTTCTCTTCGGGCCACCAGGCACCGGGAAGACGGTGACCATCATCGAGGCGGTGCTGCAGGTGCCAAACTGACCGGCCAGAGGCGGCGGGGCCATGGGTGTGAGGATGTGGGGAGGGGCCTCATCCTTTCAGCCAGCCCGGGGCGGGCTGCAGAACAGTGCCCGCCCTCACGCACACGGTGGGTGTGGGTCCTGGTGCCTGTGATGCAAAGCAGGGTGCCGTACCCCGTGTGCTGAGTTGAGTCGTGAGTGGCTCCTGGGCACGTGGGGCCCTGCCCTACCCGCGTGCTGTGCCCGAGCCTTGGGCGGTGCTCAGGGCCAGGTCTCATGCGGACAGGTGTACTGCGCGCTGCCGGACAGTCGGACCCTCGTGTGCGCCCCCTCCAACAGTGCAGCAGACCTGGTGTGCCTGCGGCTGCATGAGAGCCAGGTGTTGCGGCCCGGCACCATGGTCCGAGTGAACGCCACCTGCCGTTTCGAGGAGGTGAGTGTGGCCGCCACCTCTGCCACCTGAGGGAAGGGGCCTGGATTGGGAAGCCGTGGGGACGGGCCGCAGCTGAGCCACACGAGGGGCAGCCCCGCCGGCCCGCTCAGATGGCCATGTGCTCACGTGGCCACTGCCGTGGCAGACGATCGTGGAGGCCATCAAGGCCTACTGCCGGGACGGGGAGGACATCTGGAAGGCCTCGCGCTTCAGAGTCATCATCACCACGTGCAGCAGCGCCGGACTCTTCTACCAGATTGGGGTCAGGTGAGGGGCCAGGCTGCCCGGGGCACGAACTCAGGACACCCTGCGACCAGGAGGCAGCAGGCCCACACCAGGCCCTGTGGGGGCCGTCCACTCTGCATAGCACGTGGGGGTGGGAGAACCACTGGAGGAGTGCAAAACAGCTTGGGGGTGGAGGCCCCCCACCCCGGGGCTGTCTTGGGCCTGCCCCACATCGGTGTACGCTCACGCCCCGTTCTGGGAGCTGCCCCACCCCGGGCAGGCTTGGCGGCGGTTATAAGGGGCTTAACCAGGACAGCCCCTCATGGCGTCTTTGCCACAGGGTGGGGCACTTCACTCACGTGTTCGTGGACGAGGCAGGGCAGGCGAGTGAGCCCGAGTGTCTGATCCCCTTGGGGCTCATCTCAGACGTCAACGGTCAGGTAAGGGCTGTTGTCAGCCCTGACGTCCACCCGGGACACTGCCTGACTGAGTGAGGGTACCCTGCTCTCCAGCCCCCGGGATCCTCCCCACCTCCCTACCCTGCCAGCGTGTCCTCAGCCCGGGGGCTCACAGCCCTGTCCAGGTGGTCCCCCACTGCCTCTAGTGACTGGGCCACAGGCGGGGCCCTGGGCGAAGAGGACAGGAGTGTGCGTATTCGGAAGCTTTGGGCGAGGGTGACCTTGCCGGCTGCGCTTCCCTAGGAGGGAGGCCAGGGCTGCCCCGGCATGGGAAAAGAGGGACGAGGATCAGGGAGAGGCCTGAGTCATCCTTGTGTAGGGGAGGGGGACAGGGACAGGCCAGGGCACTGTTTCTTGGGTCCCCTGTGTCTCACCGAGGCAAGATGACACCCACCTTGTGGACCCCACCCCCACTCGCACCCTCACAGGGTTCAAGAGGCCCTTCTGCCTCCACCTTGATTCCCCAGCCTGCACCCAGGGGTCCCCAATCGGCCACCTGTCACGGGCCAGGGGCGGAGTGGTCTCTGCTCGAGCTGACCGCAGCCCCAGCCCCTGCCCCCGCCTCTTGGCGCCATCTGCAGATTGTGCTCGCGGGGGACCCCATGCAGCTGGGGCCGGTTATCAAGTCCCGGCTGGCCATGGCCTATGGGCTGAACGTGTCCATGCTGGAGCGGCTGATGTTGAGGTCGGTGTACCTGAGGGATGAGGACGCCTTCGGAGCGTGCGGCGCCTACAACCCCCTGTTGGTGAGCTCGTCTGCGAGCCCCAAGTGCCCACCCCAGGCCCTGTCCGGGCTCCAGCTTAAGCAGGGCACTGGCTGTGGACACACCGAGCTCTGCAGAGGCCTGTCCCTCTAGCTGCAGGTTGGGGGCAGGGCTGGGAGACCGGGGAGGTTGCACCTGGGTGTGTTGCAGGGCAGGGGGTGTGTTGCAAGCTGTGCCGCAACACACACACAAACACACCCCGCCCAGGTGACCAAGCTGGTGAAGAACTACCGCTCACACTCAGCTCTGCTGGCCCTGCCCTCGCGCCTCTTCTACCACCGGGAGCTGGAGGTGTGCTCCGAGCCTGCCGTCGTGAACTCGCTGCTGGGCTGGGAGAAGCTGCCGCGGAAGGATTTCCCACTCATCTTCCACGGCGTGAGGGTAGGCGCCACAGCCCGGCCATACCCCTTGGGCCACACCCACGCCTGCCCGGCCCCAGCCTTGAACCCTGATGGCCGGCTGGCCTCCCTCTGGGTGCAGGGCAGTGAGGCACGGGAAGGCCGGAGCCCGTCCTGGTTCAACCCCGCCGAGGCCGTGCAGGTGATGCGCTACTGCTGCCTGCTCTCCCGCAGCCTCTCCTGTCAGGTGGCTGCCCGCGACATCGGCGTGATCACGCCCTACCGCAAGCAGGTAGGCCTGTGGCCCGGGAAGCTCGGCCCCCCAGGTGGCCACCATGGTCTGCGACACGGCAGCAGGCCTCAACTTTGTTGGGTGCTTGGCCAGTCCAGGCAGTGGCCGCTCTGGTGGCTCGGAGCAGTGTGAGGAGTGGCCCTTCCACCGTCTGCCACTCTGGGCGCTGCCCTCTTTCTTGCAAAGGCCAGGGTCTGTTCTCTCCCCCTCCATCACCCCCACCCCCCACCCAAGTCCCCTCCCTGCAGCGGCCACCAACCAAGGCCTGCTGGACTGGAAGCCACCCCACAGGACAAGGCAGAGCTGCCCTGTGCATTTCCGAGAGCGCCCGGTGGGTTCACACTGCAGACCTGGCAGCCCAGCCTGTCACCATAACATCACCAGGCTCCCTGAGTGGCTGAGGCCTCAGAGCAGGGCTGGGAACGGGAGGTCACGCCCGCCCGGCATGCACCCCTTGGCACAGGAGACCCCTCCCAGCGCCCAGCACAGGCTATAAGGCGGCAACTGCTGCCGCCCTGCTTCATGTCGTTTCAAGTCCGGTCCTTGTTGGGGCTTCTCACATCTCCTTTTAGTTCAGGCCTGACCATGGCCACGGAGATGTGGTCCCGTCTGGGGCTCGCCAAGACCTCAGTCCCCACCCCTAGGCTCTGCACCTGCCTGCCACCGCTCAGCACACCAGCCCTCGGCGCTAGCTCTTGAGAGGCGAATGGATGGCTGGCTTTCTCAGGGGGGCTGGCACTGCCGTTCACATCAACACCCCTCAGGCCCCCGGTGCAGCCGCAGTGCTGGCCCATCTCACTGCGGCTTCACCTGATGCCCACGCCTCCCGGTGACATGTCCAGAACTAGCACGTGCTGGTGGGCAGGCCTTTCTTCCTGGTCTGCTAAGACTTGTGGGTGAGCGAGCCGCTGGCCTCTGGGGGCCTATGCCAGAGCATCCCCCAGCGCAGCCAGATGGGCTGACAGACCCCCGCCCCCGAGGGGTTCACAGCAATTCTGCTCCCTGTGCCTGCCCACAGCCCACATCTCCAAGCTGCTTCTATCGCCCAATGGGAGGCTTGTGTACTGCCCAGCCTCCTGGGGGCCTGCCAGCTACCAAGAAGTGGATCCTGGAACGGCCACCGTCCACAGAGCTGTCAGCCCAGAGCTCCAGGGGTCACTCAAGCCTCCACATTGCCCCCCACTCCTGGTGCCCCCAGCCCCTGCCCCTCCTATGTGAACAGGGGTGCTTGCTCCCCACAGAGACACAGACACTGTCTTCCCAATGGTGAAGTGAGATGTGGATTTTAAAGTAAACTGGCAGGTTTGTTAGCACCTGTTCCCCACTGCCACCGTTGGGCAGCAGCAGGTTTGTAAACCGTCGGGCGGTGTCTGCTCTGAAGGTGGAGAAAATCAAGATCCTGTTGCGGACCGTGGACCTGGCAGACATCAAGGTCGGCTCCGTGGAGGAGTTCCAAGGGCAAGAGTACTTGGCCATCATCATCTCCACCGTAGGTGCCCCCGCGTTCCCACGGTGCCCCTCACACCCCACTGACTTCGTGGGGCAGCGCCGAGTGGGGTGGGGCAGGGTGGGCGGGCATGCATGGACCCCAGCGGTCAGCCCAGCAGTGGCTGCCTAGAGAGGGGCCTTCTCAGGGACATTCAAAGGTCAGGCATGGGCCGGGGCCAAGGAAGAAGCGGCGATAAATGTAGGGTACAGTGCCACGGCAGCTGCGGAGAAATGGGCAGAGCCCACTGTGGGCTCAGTTGGGCTGGGGCTGCCCAGAGCACCGGCCAGTGGATGCCCTGCCCCACCTGCCCTTATTAAACCAGTGACTCGTCTACATCATCTGTCCCAACACTCCACGAGGCAGTGCATGTGAACACAGTTAGGAAAGCAGGCCACCCCAGGCTGACACCACCCCCACCCCACCCCGGGCGGGGCCCCAGGCCCCAGGGGCGGCCCTCACACCCCGTCCCCCACACCTGAGCTCCCAGGTCCGGTCGAACGAAGAGCGGTTTGAGGACGACAGGTTCTTCCTGGGCTTCTTGTCCAACTCGAAGCGCTTCAACGTGGCCATAACCCGCCCCAAGGCGCTGCTCGTTGTGCTGGGGAACCCCCACGTCCTGGTCCGGGTGAGGCCCATAGGGACGGGCAGGGGGCAGGGCGGGCGGAGTCCTGGCGCACACCTCACCAGCTGCCTCCGCAGGATCCCTGTTTCGGGGCACTGCTGGAGTACAGCATCACGAACGGGGTCTACACAGGCTGCGACCTCCCTCCTGAGCTACAGGCTCTGCAGAGGTGAGCTGCCCGGCCCTTGTGGGCACACTGAGGGAGGGGACTGTCCCTGTGCCAACCCCTCGCCAACGCTGCTCCTCATCCTCAGCTATGACCAGACGCCGCCCTGCCTGGCCCCCTGTGTGAAGGAACCTGGGGCCCAGGAGCCCATCTGAGGAGGGATACAGCTGCTACACCCCGACTGACCCCTGAGCGACTGTGACCCTGTGTCTGTCTGTCCCGCCCCAGCTTGTGTCACCAGCAGTCACCTTAATAAAGGTCCCCAAGAAGCTGTGGAGCACTCTCCCACGGTGACTGGTCCCTACTGGCACCTTCTCCGTGCCAGCTGTGCAGGAGGGGTGGAGCACTTGTCTCTGACAGGGCACAGTGGGTGCTCTGGGGCAGGCCCCTCAAGCTGGGTGCCCCCTGAGGCGGCCCTGGTGCACAGGAGGTGATGCCACACTGTCAGAGCAGACCACCAGGGGAGAGGCACTGTCGCGAGGACCCCACAGGCCGCCAGTCTCATCCCCTGGCTGAGGGCCCAGGAAAGGAGGCCGGGAGCTGAGCGTTCCTGCTATGCTACCCTTGCCACCACCCCCCCACTTCCCCCAGGGAAAAGGCAACCCCCTACCCCGTGGGCTCCATCGTCAGCCCCCTCCCTCCACGACCCAAGCACCTCTCAGGGCCCTGGAAGCACCCCAAATCACAGGGCCACCCGCCGTCAGTTCCCAGGTCCCCAGAACCTTCAGACGCTTCACCCCAGCAGGTCCTCATGCCCCTGGAGGGCAGAGGCCCAAGGTCAGTGGGCAGTCACGGGGTCCCTGTGGCCTGCGTGTTTGTAGGTGACAAGGAAAGAGCCCATGGAGAGCCTTCATGGAGGCCTGGACTCCAGAGACCACCCCTGCCTGCACCTCAGACACAGGCTCCCACCCGACTCAGCCCTGCAGAGACAAACCAGGGTCCCAGCTCAGGCACACACACACACCACCCCATACCACACCCTTCCTGGAACAGACGGGCTGAGCTTGGAGCGTCCTGATGAGGCCTGAGAAGGGGGCAGCTTGGGACAGGGCCCCAGAAGCTTCTCCAGCACCCACCTCCGTGCCCTGGGGAGGGGTGAGGAGGAGGTAGAACAGATGGGCTGGGCCCACTGCCATCACAGCACAGCTTGTGTCCGCCCTCTGTCCCCACGCTCTGTGACACACCAAGGACAGTGCCTGTAGGGACACAGTCCAGCAGCCAGGTGTCTGCCTGTGTCTGCATAATGTGGGCCGCTGAAGGCCCATCTGTGCCAGAGGCCCGGACCCCAGCCTTCCAGACCCTGCTGGCAGGGACATGGGGCAGGGCTGTTTGCACCAGTCTCCACACCAACCCAGTCCACCAGCCAGTTGGCACAAGTTCGACCC